TTTCCTTTATCAGTTTTTCCTGTGATGCGTGTTATGTCTTCACTCACACATACAATGATGTAATGTTTGTGTGTGCAACAGGTGAGGGCCAGTATGGGAAGGTGTACACCTGCATCAACGTGGACAGCGGTGAACTGATGGCCATGAAGGAGGTATGCAACATTAATTAATAGGGTTTTTAAATAATCAGTAGATCTGCAGGTATTTCTAAAAGTTGTTTGTTTTTTTCCAACCAGATCCGTTTCCAGCCAAACGATCACAAAACAATCAAGGAGACGGCAGATGAGCTGAAAATATTTGAAGGCATTAAACACCCAAACCTGGTGCGATACTTCGGAGTGGAGCTCCACCGGGTAAGAGGCACATGTTAATCTCTGTGAAGCATCACATGGTGTATACTGAAGGAGTTTGGTCTAAGTTGTAATGCTCTCACCTGCAGGAGGAGATGTACATCTTCATGGAGTACTGTGACGAGGGCACGCTGGAGGAAGTGTCCAGACTGGGGCTGCAGGAGCACGTAATCAGGCTCTACAGCAAACAGACCATCACAGCCATCAACGTGCTCCATGAACACGGCATCGTCCACCGGGACATCAAGGGTCAGTGTCAAATGCTCTTTTTCATTCTTTCTTTTTTCTTTTTCACACATAGCATAACGTTAACATGCGCTACATTAATGCACGTCTTTGGGACTACATCTCCGAACATTGCGTATTCTTTTTAAACTTCATACTGTAAAACTTTGCACATTCCTTGGACCATTTTTCACATTTCTGCTCAAACTTGCACTTCTATTAATGCGTATCTTATTTATTTTAATTCTGATATATTGTACATATTTTTAAAGTATTTTTCCTATTTACTATAATTTGATGAAATGTGTATATTTTTCCTGTTTTATTTAATTTAATTTCCTTACAGTTTCTATACAGTAGTATGCACCAATACACCAAAAGCAAATTAATTATATGTGAATAATTCACAATAAAGCAGATCATAATCAGATTCTGGAAGTGCAGAATGTTTTGATAGATCTGAGAATGTTCTAACCCAAATGTACTTTGTCTTTTCTTATCATACCAGGAGCCAACATATTTTTGACATCGTCTGGCCTGATTAAGCTCGGTGACTTTGGCTGTTCCGTCAAGTTGAGGAACAACACTCACACCATGCCAGGGGAGGTGAACAGCACTCTGGGAACAGCAGGTAAGAAATTATGTTTGTGTCTGGATGCCACCGCCAGGGGTCACTGTGGCTTGATCTTTAACTTTCTCCCCTTTTACCAATCGATGTCCACCCACATCATATCATTGATACGCCTTTGTGTTTAATTTGTTTGGTATACGTTTTTACATAAAATATCCCAATGTTTTCCACCATTGATATCATGTAATTATATAGAAATATATATCTGAACCCTGCACATTATTTTATCACTGATAAATAAATCATCATGTTTAATAACTCTTTGTGTCTTAATTAGCATACATGGCACCTGAGGTCATCACCAGAGCAAAGGGTGAAGGTCACGGTCGAGCAGCAGACATCTGGAGTTTGGGCTGCGTTCTCATTGAGATGGTGACTGGAAAGGTAAGGAGTGATGGGGAAAAAAACAAAAAACATGTTGTTGCTTATGTTAAGAATTTAGCATTGGTTTCAAATATGTATTTGTGTATGGATGTTGCAATTACACAGAGCTTTAGCAATACTGTATGTAATTATGGTCATGCTGATAAAGCTATTGAATTTAAAAGCACAAATCCTCTACATTTCAACAAGCTTGGATCATATTGAGGATGTTTTCTATGCTGCAAATAAAGTATGCTAAGTAAGAAGGGCTGAAATACTTTTATTGAGTTTATTGTTGCTCTGTTATAATTATTATAATGGAAAACAAGAGATTTATTGCTGATCAGCTGTTGCGTCCACATGAAAGGATTGTATTTCAGTCGAGTTAAGTGAAATTTAACATTTCAAATTAAAATGTTTTGATTGCGAGATGCTGTCTGACACAATCCACAGAGCTGTTAGCCCTCTAGCAAAACTGCCGCTCCCTAAGTTGAAAAACCATTGAGGATTTTTGGATAAAAATAGCCGTCTAAAAGCTACCAAACCTGCTAGTTAAGCTTGTCAAAGACACATTTTGGATCTAATACTATAGGTCTTAAATGTAAATGTCCTCCTTTCTTACTACTTCAGGAAATTCCCTTTTACTAAAAACAGAATAAAATAAACCCACAAGGAAATGATGTTATGTTCTAATCTTTTAATATCAACCTGCAGAGGCCCTGGCACGAGTATGAGCACAACTTCCAGATCATGTACAAAGTGGGCATGGGCCACAAACCCCCCATCCCGGAGAAGCTGAGCACAGAGGGAAAAGACTTCCTCGGTCACTGTCTGGAGAGCGAACCCAAACGGCGATGGACCGCTAGCATGCTGCTAGACCACCCGTTTGTCAAGGTGAGACACTGCTATGGAAAATGGCTTAAATTAACAGAGCAGAACTGATGTTTAAAGGTTTTTAACTATTATGCAAAATGCACTTTTAGATGTCTTTTATATATAAAATGTGTCCCCGGTGTGGAGACACACAAAGAGTCAGAAAATACAACCCTCTCTCTTTTCCTCCGTACCCACATCTCTAAAAATCGGGGGTTCAACGGAGCTGATCCAGATTTACTGCGGTCATGAAGACATTACTAAAATGTGGGCTGGCTTTACGTTGAACTCCCGGCAAGGTCCCGCCCACGTCCCTATGGTCCCCTATCAGAAACGTTGCTGTATCAGAAACAATGTGCGGCGTGTTTTGGGAGAAATATGGTGTGTGTTTACAATAGCAAGCATCTAAAAATGGTATAATAGGAGCCCTTTTAAAGTGGAAAACGCTTCCATTTAAGTTATTGTTTTGGCAAACTGGTCATCCAAAAAGCTCCCATTACAGCATCTCTTGTCTGTTTTAGGTTTGTACGGATGAAGAGTGAATGGACCCTCTTCTGCAGCTTCCACGTTTACAAATGAAAGCACTACTGTACACGCTGTCTGGAAAAGAAAAAAAGAACTGGACGCGGAGAAGAGGAACTGACAGCTGAAGGCACATGGAGTTAAACTGAGGAACTAATACAATATCATTTCAGAAGACAACTGGACCTATGGAGGATAGCGTCGCTGTGTCATTATCCACACATGGTCTCGGGGGGAGGGGCAAGGTTGGGATTGTACATACTGTAAGAATAGGATTGGCTTTAATTCTTGTATAAACAATATTGTAAAGTAACTATTGCCACATTTGTTGTTCTCACTGGTGAAGAGACCTCTCAAAAGGCATTGAGGAATACATTTTTTGTTTTTAAATAGGGAGGGGATGGGTGGGGGGGACAAATCTATGGCACTTTCAAACTGTTTACCCAAGGGGTAGTTAAGAAGAGGAGGGAGGAATCTTGTTTTTCCTAGAGGCGGAAGAATGTGTGGTAAGCCTCGCTGAAAGGAAGGAGACACTGGTTTACCTTTGATGAAATGAACACCATCCAAATATTCTAATTAATTTATCTCTTGTCATTTGGCACTTGGAAGGATTTTTTAATGTATTATTCTTTGCCTTTGCTGAGGAGTAAATGTCAAGTTGGAGCAATGTTCAAGTCAAATGCTCGCCACTGTTCATGTGACCGGAGCGAAGCCAACGAAGAGGAAAACCCGCCCTGCTGCTGAACACAACACATCCACAAACACACACCGACACACACACACCTTCTGGTCCTCTGCTGCTCTTACAGTGTTTGCTATGTACAAACAATATTAATAAACCAATCGTTTTGTTTTTTTAATGAAATGTGTTTGTGTTCTTCTACCTTGAAAATGCTATTTATAATTACAATGCTATTGAATGGCTAGGTAGTTTAATTTCGAGTTGACATATCTATAAAAACCTATCAATTGTGCTTTAGATTTGGTAAATATATATTTTACTAATCAATTATAGAGCTTTTAAAATCCTTCTATAATAATAACCTTTGGGTAAACGGGGTGTGAAAACATTTCCTTAAATAAGAGGGTGCAGAGATTAACTGGACCAAAATAATAAACTTTATTTTTACAGCATTTACAGAACAAAATTACAACGAGTTATTTGCTTGTGCAATGGATGCCGGTATTCATACATCTATGGATATGAATAAAGTAAGTATTATTTACTATCATGTTGTGGTAGCGATGCAGTGATTGATTATTTTATTTACTGTTCACTAGCTGTAGCTGTTCCGAAAAAAAAGCAGGGTTCACTATTTTCATTCTTTTTCGAATGAATGTCCAACAACTAATATGGAATATGTGTAAGTTGTGTAATGCTGGTGATGAGGATGAGCAGCACATGTTGGCACGTATCAATGCCGGTATGACTGCTTTTTCTATCATTGCTTCATAGCTTTATGAAAAGGTGCAGACGATCTTCTGTTTCACGCAGTGATCAATGTCAGCTGTCAAATAGTCGAATGCTGTTGTCAGATATTTGAGGGTTTGCAAGGATCTTTGATATATTTTAAGATTAAAGTTTGCTTAGTCTTTAGTGACCGAGGCTGGTTAACTGTCCAAGTGAATGCCTCCCTTGTTTTCTGTCATGAAGTGATTCATTGTAGCTCAGTTGTCTCTCTGAGGAGTGTTTTTGTTGAGCAACATTGCAAAAACATAGATTTCCTTCTCAAGCCAAACGGAAGTGACCAGTAAGTCAGTTGATGACTCGTGCGTCATTATTATTTCACCCTGCAGATGCACAAGTATAATCAGCTAAAATGAATCAGAATCTATTTTAAAGCTTCTAGCTTTCCAAATATTCTAATTATCAAAATACATAAACTATCACTCTTCTGGCCGCAGTATAGATCATTCAGAGGAACCAGTTATGTTAAGTCTTTCTCTACATTATAGGCTCTGGTTGCTAAAAAAGAAAATCAATAAATAAAAAAAACGAAGGAAAAATTCAAATGAACAGAGACAATAGACACATGCGTAAGAACCCTTTTAATAAAGCAATGTGTTTTTAGAAAAATTGAAATGTCAAAATGTTCTAACATTAAAATGTGATTTCTGCTTTAAATTACTATCAAAGAGAGTAGTCCATTCCATTCTTGGTTTAATCAAAATTACAGTTTGAGTTTCCTGCTTGTGACTGTGTTCTCGCCTCATATTCCTATCACCAAGTTTACCAAAAGAAGCTCGCCCCCCCGGGTCCAGTTTCATGATCTTGAGCTTCAGCAGCAAAGCTTTGAATCCTGACCTGACCTCATTGTGCCTTCGGGCAGGTTTGCATTTGTTGGACTTGTCCTTTCGAAGCGTTGTTCAAACACTCCGATGAGCTGTGCAAAGAAGCAGCGCAGATCACGCCAGGAGTCTTTAGTTGTTCTTTGAAGGAACCTCCTTATTCCCATAGCTTGAGCCTCTTTTAGTCTCAGTCTGGCCAATCATCCAGCGAACTCCCAGGGAAGCTGTGGAGAAACGATGCAGTGAGTGCACATTTTGAAAAAGCTTGAGAAAAAGACAGTTGTTTTAATAAATGTATTGATGTTTAAGATGGGCTGGTCTCTTTCAAGAAAACACAATTTGTCATTTTACCCTGAACCACAAACGTGAATGTACTGTGGACACGAACATGCTCCTTCCTCGTGAACTCATTCTGTTGAGGTATCATGACTCAATTAACATCTCAGTGGGCCTATTCAGAAGGACTTTGATTCACGTTGCTGTGTGAGCACATGCCTGAATGCTATGAAGGACACACAAGAGTGATACATCATAGTTTCCAAAAAAGGGGACTTAAATTTGAGTTGTTAAATCTGCTGCTTTATGGAACGTTTGGACAAGAAGGAGCTGGTTAAATTGAGGAAAGGACATTTATACCCATTTCAGGATGACTTTCCATTGAATGCATGAAACCAACCTGCACAGGCGACGGTTATAGAGACTAAAATGGTCAGTATGGATCCAGAGCTGACCAGTTGAACCAGAAGCAGACCGAGGGGGTAGAGGAGCATGCAGGCCCAGAGAATCCAGTTGATCAAAGCCCAGGGTCGGCATTGATGGGTCACTGTGGGCCCGGGGAAACATCCTTTCTCTGTGTAGTGTTCCTGAAAGCTATCCTGTTGACACGTTGATGCAAACACAGCTCAATATCAAAGTCCAAAATAAAAGAACATTATCACATAGCTATCAGTTTCTCTACAGATAAGGAGTAGCCAAAATGTTATCAGAAAATGAATCACTTTAGCCAGATTACATAATGATCTGGACACTAAACGTCTTCATTTCATTTAATCGTTTATTTGAATAGGGACAATGCACATCAATGAACACTTTAGACAAATAATGCTTCAAGTGTCAATATGCCGGATTTTAGCTTTGAGCTCATTTCCATCCGTGGTCCCTGACATACAACATATAAGAACATGACATTTGCAAACATAGCAACAAATAAATACATGATATGCAGAAAGAGCAAGAGCAGCACACACAAGCAGGGACGTGCACACATAGACTCTCTAGGTCAGGGGTAGCCAACGCCCGCAGGGGGGAAATTGGTCGCCCGCGTGCATGTTCTAAAAATAGCACAAGTCACCAAGGAGCTCCGTCTAAAAAAATTATTGAATACATTTTTATTTTTAAAATGACAATATTGAATATAACATTTTAAAAGCACACATTTTGTATGTACATATGTAAGTGAAATGGAGATTTGGTGCGTGAAATTGAACTCAGATAGGTTCAGAGTTGAACTCCACGCACCAAATCTCCGTTCCACCTTTAGCTGAGACAAGCTAGCATGAGCAGCTACGATCATGGGCCTCATCACCTCATCACCACACACACACACACACAGCAGTGGTGAGGATCTCAGCCTGCCACTGACGTTCAACCAGAAAACATCAGCAGTTAGCTGTTAGCAGTTAGCAAACAGAGATCACAGCTCCTCATATCTTTTCAGAAACTGGACAAAAGTTAAACAAGTACAAACCACAGACTGTCTGTGTCATGGCGAATACAGTCGCTGGTTTATTTATGTCTGTAGGCCGTTGTTATGAGTGTGGAATGAGCATATACAACGTTAGCTTAGCCTGGTCGACCCAAGCTCCATTCAGAAAACAAGCATTTTAAAAGGTTTTTCGCCTGCCGTCTTGTCTGCAGACTTGTCAAGCATTAATTCATGGTTTTTACTAACCGGTATCAGTATGTTGTTACTTCTGCATCATTTCGAAACGTGTATTACAATTTAATCACGGTAAAATATGTTCATTGTGTTGTAGTTGTAGCTCCCGAGCCAGCGCGTCTTGTTTGAATGATGCGAGTAAACACAGCTTGCAGCCGCGGTGAAACTCAAGCGTTTAGAGTGAAGCAAATATTACGCTTCGTGTCCGGTGTGAACGCACCATTAGACTATAGCGATGCGATAGGTAGCGATTAGAGCGAAGCGAATATTCGCATCGCGTCCAGTGAGAACGCAGCATTAGACTAGAGCGATGCGATAGGAGTGATTAGAGCGAAGCGAATATTCGCATCGCGTCCGGTGTGAACGCAGNGTGTGCCTTGGCAGTCAAAAAGAAAAGAAAAAAAGGGTGGGTTTATGTAGTTTTCTCTCTAAACTTGAACTACAATGTGCTGAAAGATTATAATGTTATATTTGTTATTACGTGAACAAAAAACGTCCTGCCTAAAAACGTGTTGTAAAGTAACTAAGTACATTTACTCAAGTACAATTTTTTGCTACTTTGTACTTCTGCTTCACTACAATTCAAAGGTAAATCGTGTACTTTTACCCCACTACATTTATTTAATACCGTTAGTTACTTTGCAGATTTGGATTAATGATGTAAAATATAAATAACACTTAAATAAGACTTTAGTTACACCTGGAGTAACATTCACTTGTGCTACTCGATACTGAACACATTATCTTATGTCTTAAGAGAAAGTAAGAGCTTTTAGTCCACATAACGACTAAAGAATGTAACCTGCTTGAATAAATTACATTTAAAGGGTTTCTTTGTATACTTATCACAACAAACTTGCTCATAGTAAACTTTATTGCACAAAAAGTTAATCCTTCAATTGTCTCCAACTTTAATTAAATCAAGTAATTAAGATTAACAACCCATGCTTCGTGTAATATCGTTATTAAGCTTAACTTAATAAAACACTTACTCTTGGCTAATCTAAATGGCTAATTATTTGTCAAGTGTGTGCATGAAAGTCAGTTGGACATACATCAGTGTTGACTTTTCCTACCTTGTAAAGGTGAAATGGAAAAATAGCAACCACATTCACATTTATTGTAATTCTTCCAGCTGAAAGTGCTTCATCACTTTTGAGGCTGTAAAGTGAATTGCACATATACTTACTGAACATCATTCCCATGAGCCCCTTTATACTCTTTTCTTTTGGATTTGAACATAAAGGGCTTCCTGGGCTACTTTACTGTATGTTTGGACCTCTGTCGACAGGCATGTCCTCTCTTCAAGGTTATTTGGTCGTAAAGGACATGAGGGCTAAAGCAGTATGGGACCTGTAAAAAGAGAGCTTCTCAGCGGCCCCTTAAGGTGGAACGGCCACGGGGCCCCACCTCCTTTCAGGGGTATCTGAGTTACATGGGGGGGGGAAATCAAATACTGTTTGTTTTGCATTGGAGGTTGAATAGATAATTTAACACAACAACAAAAAAACAGTAACATGTTAAACTGATCTGTTACAGTATGTGGCACAGGGAAATGTTTTCTGTTTTTCTCATCAAAGAGAGTGTTCAATGTATCTGTATTTCCCTCTGGAGTTGGCAAGAGGAAATTGTTTGACATTGTTTTGTGGTCAAATTAAACTATTAAACACTTACATTGAATGTCTGGGCCTCAACAAGATTAATGATGTGTCCACATATCTTACTATCAGTTGAGTAATGGTAGTTACTTCTGGAATAGGAAAAGGGGTGATATGTATACCTATATATATTTGTGTAACCTTTATAAAACTGATTGGTGTCTGAGTGCTTGACTCAGTTAATTGACTGCCTTTAATTTGGAGATAACTGTTCCTTTATCAATTTTTCCTTGCACATGCAATGAGTTACCAGCAGGGGGTACTGTCCACCAACACAGCACTGCTTAACAGTCTTGCACAGAGTCTCCGATATAATGGCGATATATAATTTATATATATATAAAAAAAGGCTTTTAACCATGAGCATAAACTTTATACAGTCTATGGTTGAACTGACAAGTGACTTTAATGCTTTGGTGACAGTTACCTATGAATTACTTAATAATAGACTACTTTGTCGTTACTATTATGAAAAAAACACCACTGCGCCAGTGTCACTCCCAGTTTGACAGCCTCACGCTTTTCATGCTAGCAAATAAAGGCATCGAAGAGAAAGAAAAACTCCAAAATGGTCTCCCTTTGTCCCACATTGTGGTACACAGAGTAATATAATCAGCATCGATAACACATTTCGAGATGATGTGGCCTAGTTTTACGATAGTTTATGTTAAAAGGATTACCTGGGCCAAAATGCAAAACTTGGGCCACAAATTGCATTGACTATCCCTAGTTGAATGAACGCTGTAGTTAAAATGTAAACTTTGTTGTGTTATATCTTCACCATAGTAACAGATAGGATACGTTGACCAACTATTTTTTTCCCCACTATGTTTGGTTTTATCTCGCAGAGAATAGACGATCTTTGCAGCACCCGAAGGATTCTGCAGAGCTCTCTCTACACTGGGTCCAGCCAGGCAGGGGCGGACTGCGACTAAAAATCAGCCCGGGAAACTCGACCGGCCGACCGGCCCAACTCGGTACCACTAGTCTATTGTCAACGGGAGGGGGGGGGCTAGTGAATTGTCCGACTGGGCCAGGCGTGGCTTCTTTCAGATGGGTGTGGTCATTTATGAGAGGTTTTATTTCTAAAGTTGTTGCTGAATGAACCTTGACTCAAAGGAGAATAAGTGTTACTCCGAGAGGTATGGGCATAAAGTGAAGGGCCTGGGTCTTTCTTTTCAATTTACCACTAAGGTTGAAGGTCTCTGAGGAAGGCAGCCCCGTGATCAAGGTAAATGTCAAGTGTCACAGAAGAATTTAAGGTGTGTGTCTGTTTGTTATAGGCCTAGGTGAGTAATAACTTGACTTTTACCAAACGCACGTCTGTTGAAATAACCCATGTGCTTGTTTGCATTTTACTGCTTGCTCAGATTTATTTCCATCTAATGACCCCCTTCTTGTAGAGTAAATTCAGCTTGAAGATTGTAAATGTAACTGGATTATTGCCAGTTACTCTGCATAGCCTGTGTTTAGTCAAAGTCAACTTTATTGAACCATCATAAACAATTGATGGCAAATAATGATAGTGCTTTGTGTGGAAATGGCAAATGTGACCTTCTTATGAGCTGCTTAACTACAATATGATTGGCCTGACCCTAAAACACAGCATGATTATACGTTCATACTGCCTTGACTTTAAGGAAATGATAACAACACAACAATTATTAGAAATAGTCTATGTTAAATTGCAACGTATCCCTGAAAAGGTCACTGTCAAAAATACATTTTCTCCCCTGTCATTGGCTGTTCAAGGACAGTCCAGCTCAAAGGCTCCATTGAGCAACTGCAACGAGGCAGTCCAGTGAAAGGAGTCCTTTATCTCAGTGGGTGTAGTGCTGCTGCTTTCACAGCCCACAGCAATATCGGCTGATCTCTGAATGATGAAATGTTTAATATCAGGTTGGGTGTGTCACATGAATAGGTCATTGCTTTTTTAATGCTTAAAGTTGTGCAACTTTACAGAAAAATGGGCCTCATTCAACTGCTGAAATCACAGTTCCTGATTCACCTCATCTTCTACTATGTGTTCCTGGCCAGCGGCCTCATTGTCAACCTGTTGCAGTTCTGTACTCTCCCTCTGTGGCTGGTCAGTAAGAAGCTGGCCCGCAAGATCAACATCAGACTGTGCTACTGCATCAGCAGCCGTGAGTATTGTTATGCTCTCTGACACATAAATGATGACTTTAGTCTGCTGACTGCTACAGCTCTTATTATTTTCGGTGGTTAAATGGTTGCAACGATTTAAACTGCAATCTGCAGGATAATCTTCAAAAATGTAAAGAAACAGACAATCTTTGCTCACATACAGTAACCTAAACTTGTTTTATGTCATCGTTGATTGCCAGAGATGGTAGTGGCCCTGGAGTGGTGGTCTGGGACTGAATGCACGCTCTACACAGACCCAAAGAGTTATCCACTGTATGGAAATGAGAATGCAATTGCGGTTCTGAATCACTGTTCTGAAATCGACTTCCTGTGTGGCTGGACATTTTGTGAAAGATTTGGAGTACTTGGGGTAAGAGAAATATTTTTGACCTCATCATTTTGTTTCATTATTTCAGTGCTACCCTTCAGTACCTTTACATTCTTCTTATTCCAGAGCTCAAAAGTGTTAGCCAAACAAGAGTTGAGGTATTTACCTATTATTGGCTGGATGTGGTACTTCCTGGAGATCGTTTTCTGCAAGAGGAAGTGGGAAGAGGACCGGAGGACAGTGGCTGAAAGTCTTCAGAACCTCCATGATTACCCGGAAAACTTTTGGGTAAGTTTTCGGACTGTGGAAATGTTTATGTCAATTTAACAGAGATATTTTGAATTAGGCCATTAATAACAATTTATCTTCCCGGGGCTAGTTCTTGCTTTTCTGTGAAGGAACACGCTTTACACCAAAGAAGCACGAGGTCAGCATGCAGGTGGCCGAGAGCAAAGGTTTACCCAAACTGAAGTATCATCTTCTACCCAGGACCAAAGGATTCTGGGTAACTGTTCAGAACCTCAGAGGAACTGGTTAGTGTCCATCATTGAGGAAGTGTAAAATTAGAGATGCGACAATAAGTTGATGGGCAGGAAAATAATTTTGATAATTGATTAATTGTTCATTTCATTTTTCAATACATTAAATCAATAAATGAATGTGATGATTGAACAATAATTTGTTACAGAAACAGTTTCCACTAATAAATACCAAATACTGTTGGTGAATGCTTTAAGAGGGAAAGCCTGAGGGATTTGCAATTCAGATGAGTCGTACAGTAAACAATGTGTATTGTCTCTTGTAGCTGCAGCTGTGTACGATTGCACACTGAACTTCAGAAACAAAGAAGCGCCAACCTTACTTGATATTCTTAACGGAAAGAAATATCACGCAGACTTATATGTGAGGTACAAATAAATGTTTTTGCTACATATAATTTCCCATTTACTGGTGTTATTTATTGGACATATCTGACTTCCCTTCTTCCTTGCAGGAGGATCCCTCTGGAGTTGATCCCAGAAGGTGAGGCAGAGTGTGCTGCGTGGCTCCACAAACTCTACCAGGAGAAGGTAAGAGTGTTTTAAACGTTGCAGTTAAGCCTAAGAGCCTTGAGTTTTGACAATTTTAAGTCTTTTAAAAGTATGTGTTTTTTTTATAAATGTTTACATGGACTGCCCCCCCCCCTCCCTTAGGGGAATTAATCCACAAAAAACTCACTGGACGCTGCACTAGGTCAGAAACTAGAGGAGACTGTGAAGTCCATCGTAGACGGACCACTTTTGGACAAAATGTACTTTCCATTAAAGGCAGCTCATTGTGGAATAGCCTCCCAACTGAGATACGGGATTGTCCCACTCTCAATAGCTTCAAAGGTCAACTCAAAGAATGGTTGAGAAACAACCAGACGTGCAATCACCGCTAAATGAACTTTAACACAGGGGTATCTCCTCTTGCACTCAGTGGCGGCGCCAGAGTATTTTTCTTGGGTAATCTATGGTAGGGCTAACCCATACAGTGGTGGGGCTCAAGTCAGTATTTGCAATGTAATTACATACACGCTATATCGCCCCCCTTGACAGTAAAACGCCACGCGTGAGGTTTAGATTATTTCCCTGTCTCAATCGAAATTGAACTGTATGAAATAAAAAGGCGCATTTGTCTTGTAGTAAATATAATCTATTACTACACGACATATTTTAAAAAAATGAATGCCATTTTTGTTTTTTGTTACTTTGTTCTGAAAGCTGAACCTGCTGCTCCTCACAGAGAGAAGAGGCTGTGTGAATTACTTTACATTGTGGATAAGAGTGGATAGCGCCCATTGTTCTGTGTGTCAAAATGAAAGACAGCCCACACACCTATCAATCATCAAACCGTGGGGTCTTACTTCATTACATGTTGATTTCTATCAACACGTAATGTTGTATCACGCCGTTATCGTGATTCTGATTGGCCAGAAGACATTATCAAATATGTTTTATTGAGAAGACGATCACTACGTGACAAACGTTTTCAAAACCGTTTCTGGTCTTCGGTATTTCCAGACAAGTGGCTACTGAAATCAATCTGCTGTCTGTGCAATTTACTCCGCGCGAGTTGGCGGACTTTATTTTGCTTACTTTGACATCATTTTTCATGCTGGGGCTAAGGTGGGGCTAAGCCGTTTCTTGGCATGGCTGTAGCCTACCCCAGCCACACCCTGGCGCCGCCACTGCTTGCACTTTATGCATCTCTTGTATCATCTCTTGCACTTAATATGTCCCTGCTGCTATAGTGTACTGCCATGTGGTAAATGCTTGTGTGCAGTGGCGTGCACAGACATTTATAGGGGCAGGTGCTCAAGGTGCTCAAGAGAAAAAAAAAGGGCACCTTCTGAGTCGTCGTGGTGACGTGCGGGCGCCGAAATTGTGTGCTCCGAAATTGTGCGCTCCGAAATTGTGCGCGAAAATTTGCCAGATAATGGCGGATTTTGTTAGTTTCTTTTCGGTTTTTGGTTACTTTATTTCGGTGTTAGGGTTAGGTTAGGGTTATGTTATTTAATTCTTATTTTTGCCTGATTTTACTTATTTATTATCAAAACATTAATTATTTAAACATTTATTTTTAATTATTCTATAATGACCTAGGGGGTCCAATCTGAAGCTAGGGGGGACGAAACCTCACCCCCCCGGATTGACGCCCCTGGTTAGAACCGCCGGCTAGTGTGAAGATTATTAAGGCAACATGTTGTATGTCGTAATTGCATATATATTATTTTCAATAACCATCAAGCTTGTCTGATGCAGATGTTTATAATATTCAACAGTTGGTTTCCTGGTAAATTATTGCAACAATTTAAATAAGCAAACAGAACAAACAAAGATTGCAAGTGCCACATTGTGCATGCATGCTTTAGGTGTCTATGAAATAAATAACTGACTAAATAATTACTTGAGTGAGCATTGATTGATTGACTAATACTTTATTAACAAGTTACTTTTAAGACCTTTTTAAACCTCAGAAATAAATAAATATGAAATGAAAAAATGGCATTACTGCAATCAAAAGTATCACAAACCACTATAAAAAACTGTCAAACAATTGGCCAAGATGTCAAATAATATAAGAAAGCCATCACAAGCTCCACAATGGCACGCAATGCCGAGATCGGCTATGTNTATAACTATAATGATAATATAAATATGTGCCTTTACCTCACTGGTTGTAGAAAAAGCTTCTTATATTTGTTAGCATAGCTAGCTAACCAGATGCTAATATTATTAGCATCTGGTTAGCTAGCTATGCTAACAAATATAAGAAGCTTTTTCTACAACCAGTGAGGTAAAGGCACATATTTATATTATCATTATAGTTATACAAAAATAAGAGAATAAAGTAAACAGGTATAAAATACTATATGACAGTAAAAAAAGTTGTTATTAATAAACAAGAATACAGTTTGAAAGGAGTGATTTGTAAAATATCCATAAAGAAAAAATAAATATCTGGTTACAGTTCTGTTTCATATGGATGTTGAGAGATGTATCCATAGATCTCCAGATTGATGCTTTTAACTTCAACTTTTAAAAAAAATCTTCCCGAGGGAGCATGCCCCCCGGGCCCCCCTAGAGGAGGTTAGGTCCCCCCCATACAATACATTTGCAGTTGCACACATCTTGTGTCCATATCTTTCTGTTTTGGTGGTCATGCCACAACCGTGCACGTGAGTCATGGTAAAATATCTGGATTAAGAGGTTGCTTTTTCTTTGCACAGCATGAAAGAAAGGCGAAATGAATGGGCTGTGATTTTAGTATTTTTAAGGAGAGGTCAATAATTTGTACAGCCCTC